CAATATATATATATTCTTATCTTTATATTTCAACCCTTTTTATTTGGTTCTCGGAAGGTAATTTGGGTTTTTCATTCAAGAGACCACTAACGTTATCAAACGTATATTAACGAAAACAGTGACTGGCTTGGCATGGCCCGACGATTAGGGTGATCGACTCGCAATGAACAGGTCGCAGATTCGAATCCCGTCACATACCATGCTCGCCCTTTCAGCCGTGGAGACGTTATAATGTGGCGGTCAATGACGATATTCGGTGATAAATAATAGCCCAAGAGTTGACGGCGGGTGGTTTGGACTAGCTGCTTTCCCTCTAGTCTGTCACCTCTAAACTAGGGATGGTTAGTGCAGGTAGACCTGCGTGTAATTTAATAAATAAAGTAATAAGTGTTTAATGTTTGTATTAATAGTAATAACAATGAGATGTCACTATTAAACAATACATGAAAGCTATTTAAACCTACCTTGAGAAAGTGCCAGAGCCGGAGCATATAACACAATCGCCATGTAGATGATCTGAAACCAATAACAACCACTGTGATCAAATCTGAAATGGTAAAAATCGGTTTCCGAAGAAAGTAGTTTAGCTGATATCGTGTTTTTTGTTGTTGTTTTTCACTTAGTCACTTTATGATTACAGATGTAAATTATAAAAAGTTGGTTATAAGGAATTTGTTCAATGAGTCGTTAGAGGTTTCAGTTTATTATCAATGAGTCGTTACAGGTTTCAGTTTATTATCATTGAGTCGTTAGAGGTTTCAGTTTATTATCAATGAGTCGTTACAGGTTTCAGTTTATTATCAATGAGTCGTTAAGGTTTCAGTTTATTATCAATGAGTCGTTGCAGGTTTCAGTTTATTATCATTGAGTCGTTACAGGTTTCAGTTTATTATCAATGAGTCGTTACTGATTTCAGTTTATTATCAATGAGTCGTTACAGGTTTCAGTTTATTATCAATGAGTCGTTACAGGTTTCAGTTTATTATCAATGAGTCGTTAGAGGTTTCAGTTTATTATCAATGAGTCGTTACAGGTTTCAGTTTATTATCGCAGAACTTTCGATTTCACAGATTAAAAAATCACTTTCTGGTTTCACTATCAATGACTTTGTCTTAGCCTAACATTTTTTTTACAAACAATATAGAACCAAAAGAACCTACCATTTGTATGGCAAACACAATAGAACCAAACCTACCATTTGTATGGCAAACACAATAGAACCAAAAGAACCTACCATTTGTATGGCAAACACAATAGAACCAAGTGTTCTGACCAACCGACTAAATCGTCGCTCCAGATACTGTAATAAAAAAAATCGAAACCAAATATTCTGGTGTATTACATGATTTTAAGGTGAACAAAATACAGTTAACTTTAACAGTTAGAATAAAAAACAAAGAACAAAATACAGTTAACTTTAACAGTTAGAATAACAAACAAAGAACAAAATACAGTTAATTTAACAGTTAGAATAACAAACAAAGAACAAAATACGGTTAACTTTAACAGTTATAATAACAAACAAAGAACAAAATACAGTTAGAATAAGAAACAAAGAACAAAATACAGTTAACTTTAACAATTAGAACTACAAAGATAATACAGTTAACTTTAACAATTAGAACTACAAATATAATATAATACAGTTAACTTTAACAATTAGAACTACAAAGATAATACAGTTAATTTTAACAATTAGAACTATAAACAAAGAATGTGATACATTCAAGGTTTTAGTCCTATTGACGCGCAAACATTTTGTTTGTATTCAGTAATTGACAAGTAACGTTTTTGTAGTGTTTGAAGTCTATATGATAGATTTACTAATATGATGACATCTTTGTTGTTTTATACAGACTGGAAATTTAAAGTATATATATGAAGAATCTGATCTAAATATTTGAGTTATGGTATGTACGCTTTTTTACAAGCTGATGAAGGATGATTATAATTACACTTGTCATAAGTCATTGGTGTTAGGCCTATTACATTTTTATACACTACATTCTATGTCTGGTCCTTTGGGGATTTTCAAGAATTATAAGAGTATATAATAATAATATTTCAACTACACTTCGTTTGTCA